CCGCCCCCCCCCCGGGGGGGGCCGGCGTTCTGGCCAGGGACTGTGCCCGGTGTCCTGCCCTGCGTGGCCTGTGGGAGCTGGGAGCACATGTACCAAGGATGCCCTGAAGGAAATCCCTGCCGCGCTGCTGCTGGGTCTGGGATCCCTGCCGGGTTGTTCCCTGCGCGGCAGGTCCCGCAGCCCCAGCACCCAAGCCGTGGGGAGCAGGGGAGATCTCTGCCCCGCTCCCCAGCTCCTCTCGGCCTGTCCTGCTCCGGTGCTGGCCAGAGACAGCAGCTGGTGTTGGGCCACCTGGCCCAGCAGACAGGAGCCCGGCTTGATGGGAATGAGCTGGGGACATGATGGAAGGGAAGCTGCTCTTGCCAAGAAGTTGGCACCTATGAGCCGTGTCATGTGCCAGCCTCACAGCTTGCAGGGCCAGGTTGGGGCAGGTGGCACCATCCACGCTGGCATCGGGGAGCTGAGACTGACCTGTCACCTGCAGTTCCGCGCTGCTCTTCTCCACGGGCCGCTCCAGGACCACGTGCTGCACGCGGCAGATGTACTGGGCGCCCTGGTCTCTCTGCACCGACGGGGTGAAGATCAGTCTTGTTTCCTGCTGGAAACTCCTCTTCCCATCCAGTGCCTGCACGGCCGTGCCAGGCTGAACGCTGTAGTCTTGTATGTCCTGCAGGAGCACAGAAGGAGCCTTTCCCTTGCCCTTCCGGAGCCAGGCCACCCTCAGCTCAGCCGGGAAATGCCCCGAAATGCGGCAGCTCAGGGTGACTCTGCTCCCCACGGGCACTGACTCCGGCTGGGAGATGTCGGACAGCTCCGGGGGCCGCAGGAGCCCTGGGGAAGGAAAGGCGCAGAGACGGGGACAGGCCGTGTTAGGGGAGCCGGGCCCTGGCAGAGGCTGCTTCCCCTCCCCTCGCACACGAGAGACCGAACCCCACAGCAGGGCTGGCGCCCCTGGGGTCTCCCCGCCTTGGTATTGCTCAGCCCTGATTGATCAGCATCTCCAGTGGGGAAGTGGGGTGAGGAATATTATTCCCAGCTTCTGTTCACCCCTCGCTGACTTACACAGGAGCAATGATCCCTGGTCCACCCCTTCTTAATCCCCAGAGCAGCCCCCTCCTCACCGGCGTCCCGCAGGCGCAGCTCTCTCTCCAGCGGGGGGTCTCCGGGGCCGTGCTCCACGGACACTCGCACTCGCAGCCCCGGGCCGGTCAGGCTCCGGCTGGGCACTCTCCACACGCTCGTCGCCGTGAAGGTGCCGTCCGGGTTGGGGCTGATCTCGCTGGGCTTGGACCTTTCCCAGGCTTTCCCGTCCCAGCTCCACTCGATGCGGTGGATCCCGCAGGGGTAGAAGCCGTGCAGGTGGATGGCAAAGGGCACCTGGTCCGGGGGGTCCCAGCACGGCAACACCTGGATCCCGGACAGCTCCGGCCGCGCTGGGGACACGCAGGAGCGGTAGCGAGCGCAGGGCTGGGGGCGCTGGGGGACTT